AGATGTGCAAATGAGAGTACCGGTACGCTAAAAGCACGTTCTGGGCGCATGGAGAGGTGGCGGTACTCTCAAGAGCTATATTTAGAAGTGGCGGTACTGAGTACCGGCGCGTACCGGCCCACTTAAAGCACTGCTTTGTACTCAGCATAACTCTAAACCAGAGTTGAAGTACTAGACCACAATAAGTCTCTTTCATATATGAAGAGAGATTACAAGACAATAAGCAACAATCCATATTAGAAACAGAGAAAGCGATGAGATAAAACATGTAGCTTCAACTCAGTGATGTTCTGTGAGAGCAAGCACTGAAACAGTGCTTGTCCAATGAAATCTAAATATAGATTGTACCAAAGTGAGAACAATCTCTCTTCTTGTATTTCAGTATTTTGACACATAAAGCTTTCTCCACTGCCTAATTGCATCCATCCTACACATGACTCCACTGCAGTTAATGATTGTATCTGACATCAGATTTAACTCTAAGCCTTCTTGATTTACTATTTTAAACAATACTTTTTTTATTAACAACATAAAACAACAATGTTAGATAACGGTGAAGAAGATGTACTGATAAACTGGATTACAGGACATTTTGCAGTGAAACAGCACATTTCCCTGAAAAATGCCGAGTTAAATGCATGGATCTGTGAAAAGAGACTAACTTAATGCATATATAGATTCAGTGTAATGACTTTTGTGTTGTTGTTCTGACAGACAATATGACGTAGCTTGGCTGTAGAGTGGAGTTGGTTTACTTTGGTGATTGCGGTGTTACCGTCTTTAAACATACAGGCTTAGAGATTAACGACAGGTTTCACTCTCCACAGTCACGTGTCTATAAACCAATAAATCTGCTGATCTAACAGGAAAGTAGCAATCAGCTTTCTGGCTGCTCCACCCATCTCTTTGTGTGCGCCCTCTGAAGCAGATGCTCACCAGGCAAATCTCTGCCCTCCTCATCCTCTCTTCCTGCATGTGAAGTTGCATCTGTCTCCCAACACAGAAGATTTAGAATGATTTCTTACTCATGATTTATATGATCGATAAAGTTTATTACAACGTTACAGTGAAACAAAAAAATATGGACCTAAATATTT